GCATGATTCAATGTTTTTCAAAGTAAACTCTCTAAAATTTTTAGATTATAGGCCTGATTCAAGGATTATAGGCATGATTCAATGTTTTTCAGAGTAAACATCGATTGATTCAAGGATTATAGGCCTGATTCAAAGCTCAAAGCTCAAAGTTCCATCGATTTTTCAGAGTAAACATCAAATTTCATTTGATAGAACCAGAGTAAAATTTTACTCTGGTTCTATCAAATGAAATTTGATGTTTACTCTGAAAAATCAATGGAACTTTGAGCTTTGAGCTTTGAATCAGGCCTATGATCCTTGAATCAATCGATGTTTACTTTGAAAAGCATTGAATCATGCCTATAATCCTTGAATCAGGCCTATAATCTGAAAATTTTAGAGAAATCTCAATTTTTCATACCCCGGTTCTTCAGATTTTTAAAACTTTGAGCTTTCAAAAATCTATATATTCGAATTCAAATCTCAAAACACACAAACACACACACACATATATATATATATATCTATATATCTCGGGAGATTAGAGATTGGAATCGTTCATGGTGCACAGATTTGAGTTGAAACCCTATATCGAAAGAGGGAAGAGAAGCTTGCGGAGGCTCTGAAGGATGATGTCATGGAGAGGTAACGGTCGAGGACGGAGTCGATGGAGGGTTGCCGAAGGCAAAGGTGTTGCCGGCGTTGGGGAAGGTGATGACGGCGGCTTCGGTGCCGCACAAGTTGCAGAGCTCGCCGGTCTTCTTGAAGAGGCCATCTGTGGAAAGGAAAAGAGTGGGAAAGAGAGTGGGTATAATAGTCATATAATATATTTAAATAACAAATTTGTCCTTTATGCAAGACTTTATAATTATGAGGGGGTTTAGAAAGTATAATTTTTTTCTTAGTCCTTTTAACAATGAAAGGAAGGTAAAGGGGGTTTATAGCCAAATTTCCCAAAATTTAGTGGCCAATAGTTTCTTTCTCTCATTCTCAATTGTTTTAGCTACTAATTATTTGGTCGCCAAAACTTTTTGGGTTATGTTTTGCTACTAAATTATTAGTCACCAAAACATTTGATTACGTATTTGGCTACCAAAATATTTGGTAGCCAAATGCTTTAACGTGTTTTTTTTTTTTTTTTTTTAAAAAAATTCTAAACAACCTGTATCCATTATGAATACAACATGTACCCTGTATAAACAATATAATCCATCAACACTAAATATGTTATCAAGCATTCAACAATGTGCACACATTTTAGCTCCAACCATCCAAAACATTAATATTGAACGTCCAATTCTATATATAATACAAATTCCATACGAACCAAGTCTAATCCAATGTCAATAATTTTATTTCATACATAATATAGGACTAACCAAATTAATTAACAAAAAGGACATATGTACCACAACCTAAATTAGCATATATGCTAATTTCTACCTTGCCAAATTAGCTTATATTTACCACACCAATGGTATTTCTTCATTTGCAGCCTGTTCATAAGGCTTCCCATTATCCCAAGTTTCAAGAGCCGCAATATGATCATTGTGCTTCTCAAGCAAATCAGCAAACCGCAACATTATTCGTGATCTTTCCTGAAAGTACAAAGCAAATGATCAATGTGTGATATTCTTACATAAGCAGTCATCTTTGGCCATGGTCCTTGGTCGAATGCTTTGCGAGCAACAGACACTGCTTAGTTGACATCTTCAGCCTCAAATGCAACAGCGGTACTGAACCTATTGATGCTTCAGCCTCAGATTTTTGTAATAAAAAGAAAAGAGTTCTCTCTTCTAGAAGTGAGAAACCAATTTCATCAAGAAAAAAAATTTGTAGATTTCAAGTTGTTTCAATTTTACAGCCAAACAAGTTTAATATAAAATTTTAACCCAATTCCTATATATTGAGAGTCTAAACCTGCAAATAAAGAAAACAAAAAGATCATCAAGCATTGGTCATTTTTAAAAGGGGAAATATTTTTTCCTACTAAAGAGTGGAATGATCAGTGTCACCAGATGATGCATCGTGGAATTAAAAAAAAAAAAAAAACTACATCCCATTTTCCAATCATACAATTTGAAATAAAATAAACCATAATCACTCTCACTTGTCATAAATTGTATGATCATTCATGTTTATCCAACTTTGTAAATTCTTCCAAGAGCACCACAAAAAACCGGTCAATAGCACATTTAGCAACTACAACAGTTAAGCAAAATGCCATAGAGAAGCTAGTGGATGTGTGGATGTGCTGACAAAACAGGCAATTGGCAGTTCATTCTCAAGGCATGCATGATATATAAACATACTTGTATAAAATATCATTAGACAAACAAAAAATACCCTTAATTCATTTGTATCTTAATGTGACAAATGCATGGCAATTGGCAGCTCATTCTCGAGGCATGCATGATAACCCAAAACACCTCAAGTATTTCCCAATCAGCGGAAGCATTATTAATTGTTTCACTTGTCAAGATGTAGGAATTTGAAACTTAAAATGTTCATGGATACCTGCAACTTCTTCACATTTTCGCCCAATTTGCTTTGTGCCATCTTTGCAGCACTAGAATCCTGCACCCAAAGATGGAAATAATGCCTCCTACTGGAACATTGTATATGAAATTAAACCTAAATATAAAGCTTAAAAGTAGTGGATCTTATCTTATATCCAATAAAAATTCCAGTCCTTTCATATGGCTCACATCTTAAACATGGCTCACAAAAATTCCAGCACAATGCATTACAACCATCTTAAACATTATGACAATCAATATGGCTCACATTTCCACAGTCATGACCAAAATTATTCACCGTAATTCTTTTTTTTTAAATGTTCAAAACAAAAGGTGATGTCTTGGTCAGATTTTGAATGTTCAGATCAGTATTAAACCCATTTAAATATATAACTAATTAACCAACTCAAACAAAATGTTAAGTGATGGAGTGCACAACAGATGATTAGACATAAATCTATTGGATGCATACTTACACCAGACATAGTAAATCCATATTTTTTCTTAATTTGATCAACTGCACCAGCCTTCTCTACTTGTGGCTCTTCCTTTGACAGCACTTATTCATTTTTTACCTTCATCTCTTTCAGTTTACCTGTTGTGTGAAAGTATTCAACCCACATTTATGCAACAATTAAGAATGGATTGTATTAGAGGCTATTTTGATTCCTAATTGAAATTAAACCAGTGATATGTTTTCATGTAACAAATCTAGTACTTCTAGTAAAATATTTGAAACCATTGAATGATAATTAACTACTTTCTCATGCAACAGGGGTTATACAGCACCAGAATATGCTATCTTAAAAAAAAAAATTAATTAAAATATTACAGAATTAAAAACTACCAAAAAAAATAATTCAAGTATTCAAGTCTCCAACTCCAATGCAAATGACTCCACCAGCTAGCTAATAATTATAAACTAATCTTTATAAAACATTTTCACATAACCATATAGCATTGAAAAATCAGCAATTGCAACAGTGCACTTGCCCCTTAAAAATTGAATTACCAAATCATTTTGTAGCAGCAACAAAGCGGGTATTAACATAAATTACATTGTTCTGGGACCACTGATAACATAAAAATTTCATGAATAGACTAATTTTCCCCAAAAACATTTTCACAGAATTTTACAGGCACATTTCCTGAATTTTAAAAACCTTAAAAATGTGTGAAAATAACCCAACCAATACAATCGCAACCATTTTCCATAAAACAGAATTCTTATTTCTATTCAAACGTGTTTAGAATTGCAGAGAGGAGTGGGTGATGGCATTGATGTTGGAGGGTTACCCAGCAGGATTATTAGCATCTCTCATAGAATGCTGAGTAGTGGTTACCATAGACTCACAGCTTGCATCAGTAGTTGCCGACGCCTGCAGGACATTCATTGAACATAGGTATCTAAGCCAAAACATGAAAATGCCATAAGGAAACTTTACTTTTGTTGTTTTTTAGAGCAGTTCAATATAATTCCTAGACTTTTATTATATTGTAGAACAGTTAAATATAATTCCTTTCAAAGTATAAAACTGAACAGGCTACCAATTTCACAGGCTATCTATGCAGAGCATTGAGCAAATATGTTTGGACATCAAAGATGAGACATAAAATAGATATAATAGGCATCTGAAACACATAGAAGCAAGAAGAAAAAGATCACAAAATAAACAAATTGCACAACCCCACAGACTGGTCCCAGTTGCTAGTTGTTCACAACTTCTGGAAGAACCCGTAAAGTTGGGGTTCCCAAAACTGGAAATTATATTATCATTCTACAAATATAACAAATATCAACCCTTTGATTCTTTTTGAAAGTAAATGCATCCAATAAAGACAGATAACAAGAAATAGAAGTCGATCCATAAATATATAGCAATAGCAACAATAGGGTAAGAGATAAATTAACATATAGTGTGCAGTTGTTACCACATAAAACCATTCTCGCATACCAACTGTGACACCTGTTTCTACAACCGATCATTCTCCTCCATCAACAGCTTGTTCATCACCGTCATTTTCTTGTTCACAGTCTGCAACCGAGAAGCCTCTTTTTGTTGCTTCTCTCGACACCTGCATAGGCCAAAAGAAACTTTAAAAAATCGTTTCAAATCCAACCTAAGAACCCAATTTACATTCAATTACATAGATTAATTTATTTACAAATAAGCAGAATTGCAATCAAAATCTACACATTTAAACAAAAATTCCAAGAAATTCAGTTAAATAACCAAAGTTTTGCATCAAGGCCTCTTCTTTACCTGCAATTTTGAAACCAGACTTTGATATGCTTGGGTTCGATGTTAGACAAAATGGGACAGTCGCGGATCAATTGCTGTCGACGCAAAGAGCTCGGCTTCGGACACTCGGCATAAACCCTTTCGAGGGCTTCCACTTGCTCGCCAGTGTACCGGACATATTTTTCGGCATCGAGATGCCTGTTCATGCTATCACTGCTACTCTCTCTGTGCTGATGTGCCACTGCCATCGCCATTTTACTCGAATTCGAAGCTTCTCTGCAATTCTAAACACACTGATCAAGAAAAGAAAATGGCGGTGAAAGTGGAGGGGAGAGGAGCGGCGGTAAGGGAGAGGGAGACAGAGAGGGAGAAGGACGCTAAAGAGAGAGGGAGAAAGAGAGAGAGAGAGAGAGATAGGCGCTATTAATGGTTCAGGGTTGGGTTTGGTTTGGTGAGAGCGTGAGATAATTTCTATAAATGGTTATTGGCGACTAAACCTTTTTGTCGCTAAAGATATTTTATAAATCCCTCTAAATATTTGAAATATCTCCCTCCAAAACATTTTACATCTTTGGCGACTAAAATTCAATTTTGTCGCTGAAAACAAACTTTTGGCTACTAAAATTTTGGTCGCCAAAGGTAAAAACATATTTTTTTATTTTTCGTTTTCATTCGACAAAACAAATCGAAAAATTATAATTTTTTTCTAAAATTTCAAAAAAAATTCAATAAAGATAAAAATTAACAAAAAAATAGTAAATATTTGTTGCTTATTTTGAATTTTGAATTTTTAAAATTTTTTAAAACATATATATTTCTTAGATTCGGCTCGAAAAAATGAATTGAAAAAATAAAAAATTTTAAAATAAAATTACTAAAGGACAAATTACTAAATAAAATAAAATAACTATTTTGTTTAGTCAAATTTTCAAGTGGAGACTAATGGTATTGTTGTTAATGAAATAAAATAACTATTTTGTTTAATCATCTTTGGCGACTAAAATATGATTTGGTTACCAAAGATAAAAAAAAAAAATTATTTTCATTCGGCTACCAAAAACTTTAGCAGCCAAAAGTAGGTGTACAGCGACTAAAAATGAATTTTGTCGGTGAAAATATATATTTGGCGACCAAAATTTGGTCGCCAAAGATCAAAACTAATTTTTTTATTTTCATTCGCCTACCAAACAATTTAGTAGCCAAAAGTAGGTCTACAGCGACTAAAAATGAATTTTGTCGGTGAAAATATATTTTTGGCGACCAAAGCCAAAGATCAAAAATAATTTTTTTATTTTCATTCGCCTACCAAACAATTTAGTAGCTAAAGGTAGGTCTACAACGACTAAAAATGAATTTTGTCGGTGAAAATATATTTTTGGCGACCAAAATTTTGGTCGCCAAAGATCAAAAATAATTTTTTTATTTTCATTTGCCTACCAAACAATTTAGTAGCTAAAGGTAGGTCTACAACGACTACAAATGAATTTTGTCGGTGAAAATATATTTTTGGCGACCAAAATTTTGGTCGCCAAAGATCAAAAATAATTTTTTTTATTTTCATTCGCCTACCAAACAATTTAGTAGCTAAAGGTTGGTCTACAGCGACTAAAAATGAATTTTGTCGGTGAAAATATATTTTTGGCGACCAAAATTTTGGTCGCCAAAGATCAAAAATAATTTTTTTATTTTCATTCGCCTACCAAACAATTTAGTAGCTAAAGGTTGGTCTACAGCGACTAAAAATGAATTTTGTCGGTGAAAATATATTTTTAGCGACCAAAATTTTGGTTACCAAAGATCAAAAATAATTTTTTTATTTTCATTCGCCTACCAAAAATTTAGTAGCAAAAGGTAGGTCTACAGTGACTAAAAATGAATTTTGTCGGTGAAAATATATTTTTGGCGACCAAAATTTTGGTCGCCAAAGATCAAAAATAATTTTTTTATTTTCATTCGCCTACCAAAAATTTAGTAGCAAAAGGTAGGTCTACAGTGACTAAAAATGAATTTTGTCGGTGAAAATATATTTTTGGCGACCAAAATTTTGGTCGCCAAAGATCAAAAATAATTTTTTTATTTTCATTCGCCTACCAAAAATTTAGTAGCAAAAGGTAGGTCTACAGTGACTAAAAATGAATTTTGTCGGTGAAAATATATTTTTGGCGACCAAAATTTTGGTCGCCAAAGATCAAAAATAATTTTTTTATTTTCATTCGCCTACCAAAAATTTAGTAGCAAAAGGTAGGTCTACAGTGACTAAAAATGAATTTTGTCGGTGAAAATATATTTTTAGCGACCAAAATTTTGGTTACCAAAGATCAAAAATAATTTTTTTATTTTCATTCGCCTACCAAAAAATTTAGTAGCCAAAAGTAGGTCTACAGCGACTAAAAGGAGTTTTGTCACCGAAACTTAACATTTGGCGACCAAAATTTTGGTCGGCAAAGATTAAAAATTAATTTTTTTTATTTTTATTCGGCTACCAAACAATTTAGTAGCTAAAGGTACCTCTACGTCTACTAAATTTTTTTTTAGTCGCCAATTGTGATATGTTTAGCTACTAAAAATTTTTTTAGTCGCCAATTGTAATATTTTTAGCTACTAAATTTTTTTTAGTCGCCAATAATCAACATTCCCCTACTAAAAAAAATTAGCAGCTAAAAAGTTGACTTTTGCCGACTAATATTATTTTTGGTAGCCAATTCCGTAACTTTTGGCGACTAAATTGTTTTTGGTAGCCAAAAATGGTCGCCAAAAATGTATTTTCTTGTAGTGAATGATTTTTTTTAGTAAAAATTTAATTTGATATAAGTTTGATGAATAAAATAAATTTTATCACATTTAAATTAGTGGAAGATATCCTTATGTTACAAATTTGTTTTTGGAAAAAATAAAAAAACTAACTCGAAACGTCGTCGTTTCATGTTTCGCCTAGGAATCATCGTCGACGGTTACGCCACACGAGTTCAGATCTTCGGCCGCTCTTTCCAGCAGCACTCCCAGCAGCACTACAAAACGACGTCGTTTTGTAGTGAAAAAACGACGTCGTTTTGTTTAGTTGGTTTTTTTTTTTTTGTTTTTGTTCCGAAAATTCGAATTTCCCGCTTGATCATTTTGACTTCATCTTCGTCCCTCTCTCCTTTGTTTTGCCCTAACAAACCACGCAGCTGGATAGAGAGAGAGAGAGAGAGAGAGAGAAGAGAGGCGCTGGAGAACGGAGAGGCGACGGTAATGGAGAGAGGTTGGCGGAGGGACGCGAGTCCGACTGTGACGCGACAATGGCGGAGGGACGCGAGTCCGGCTGTGACGAGGTATATTTCAGTCTCTGTGTTATGTATATATGTATATTTCAGTCTCTATATTTACATTTTGTTTGGATAATCAATGTATACATGTATTTGTATATATTTTGTTTGGCTGTGACGAGGTATACATATAGCGATCCCGGTATTCCCTGCTATTGTTTAACCGTAATCCGGACTCGGTTCCGTGGATTCGTTGTTGTTTTATTCTCATTTCTATCCCTTCCTCTTTGTGTTAGAATTTTGGGTTGTGTTGGGCAAGTTGGGAATAAGTTGGTTGTGTTTTGAAACTTAGAATTTTTGCCCAGGTTTTGGTCTCTACGCTCGAGCGGCGATTTGACGCTCGAGCGGGTTTTTGTTGTTGCCTTTCCGCTCGAGCGGTAGTTGGGACGCTCGAGCGTGAATTTCCTCCTCTCAGCATTTGGTCGTCTGCAGAAAATTCTGGGAGAGTGCATCCGGCGCTCGAGCGGATCTTTGGACGCTCGAGCGTGAACCTGTGTCTGACGCTCGAGCGGGGTGTTGTACGCTCGAGCGGACCTGTTTTATATCAGTTCGTGAAATCACCTTTTTGTTCACTTTTCAACATCCTTTCTCTCTCTTACTTTTCCAAAAAGCTATTTTGAGAGCTCCTCTCACTAAAACCCTAACTTCTCTCTTAGGATTGATCTAGTAGGAGTTATTTTCTCACCTTGGGCCTTTACAAAAGTTGTGTTGATCGTCGAGGGCTATCATCTAATCTGAAAATTTCGGGATTTGGAGCATTTCCGTTTCTTCATCTCCTTCGTTGAGCCCCATCAATCGAGGTAGGGATAACCTACTCCATCTTATGAGCTTTGTCTTTGAATTTTAGCATTTTGATATGTTGGGGGTTGTTGGGTAGTTTCGTGAAAGTTTGGGCCTTTGTGTAATTTTACAAAAGTTGGGGTTTAAAATATATATAAACCTATATACATGTTAGGTATAGAGAAATGAAATTAATGTTGGTACATTGATGGGAATAGAACCTTAGGGTTGTTTTGTGAATTATGGTAATTTGCCCTAATTGGTTTAATTAATTAATGCATATAATTAATTGAAGAAAACGAGGAATTGAATTGAGAACGTTGAAATTGGGAATGTATGGGATTAGAGGGTGTAGACGAATCTTTTATTGCTCATCTAGTTGAAATGTTGATATATTATCCATTTGTGCATTTATTTCCTGCTTAGAAATAATTGCTTTGGGCTACCGGTGGAGGATAATGTTGATTGTTGTAGACAATGCATGATGATCAGGCAAACTAAAACTAATCAATCGGATGTGTCATAGAGTATGACGGTTGATAGAATACATTAACTTTATGTATTGAGTGATTGTGTATATGACCAATGTGTTTATATGCAATATGTGTAGACGGTTAGTAGAATACATTAATTTTATGTATTGATTGATTGCGTATGTGATTCTGTGTTTACATGCGTTATTTTGTGTATAGAACCTTTGTGTTTAGATGCATTGTGTAGAGGAGGAGATGGGGGATGTACTCCGCGGTTTAGGGGAAGATGAGGGATGTACCTCTAAACCGGATAGGATTGGGAGGAGATGGGGGATGAACTCCGTAGATACAGCTCTTATGCTTGTCTAGAGAAGTGAAGATACAGCTCATATGCTTATCTTTGAGAAGTGTAGATACAGCTCATATGCTTGTCTAGTGAAGTGTGGATACAGCTTATATGCTTATCTGTTGATGTGTAACATGCTTATCTGTTGTGGTATTGATATAGCTCATATGCTTATCTATTGAAAAGTTGGTTTGATTTGATATAACACTAAAATGTATATCATCATCGTTTGTGAAATATGGAAGTAGTTTATGTGTTACTGATACAACACCATAATGTGTATCCACCGTGAATTTTGAAAACGTTCTAGTGATGAATTATAATCTCATCAAAATGTTTTGGCCAGAGTACTGAGCCTTGTTTTCAAACCCAAAGTTGAACAAGAAATGAAAAGTGAATTGTAACGTAGACTTGGTTGTCTTGGAATTGAAATAAGATGTAAATGGAAGTGTAAGCATCGACCATCTATCAGTTGCTAATCTTTTAATCATTGTTCATAGTCGGTTTAGTATATCTCTGCTGGGCTGTGGCTCACCCTATATGGGAACATCATTTTCAGGTACAGGTAGCATGCCACTTCTGAGGACATAGCTTGGGAGGCTAGGGGCAAACTTGCTTTTGTTGCCTTATTTTCCTTTTGATGTATTACATGTAAATTCAAGCCAAGGGCTTAATGTGTAACCGAGTCAATACTCTCTTTTGTAACCAAGTATTAACTTGGAAAACTGTAAGCCCGTAAGGCATTTACTTTTGTTGTTAACGTGTAATACTTTTGTAATGTAGTACTCTGATGAGTTGAGGAAATGTGGATCTTTTGTATATAAATGTATGTTAGTATTGATGGGTTTAATGTTATTATTTTGAGGGTGTTACAATACATGTCTCTGTGTTAGAAATATGTCAGTCTATTTCTCTATTTCAGTCTGTATGTATTTGCAGACATTACAAATATACCAGTGCTATATTAATTTTCAGACATTACAAATATACAATTTTTCAGACTTACAAGTGCTTTGATTTGCAGACATTACAAATATACAAATATACCACTGTATATATTAATTTTTCACATTACCAGTGCTTTGATTTGCAGACATTACAAATATACAAATATACCAGTGTATATATTAATTTTTCTCTATACATTTCTCTATATTAATTTTTATATATAATTAAGGATTTATATATAATTAAGGATTTTGTGAATTCAGAAATTAGTAATTATAAAGAAGAGTGATTAGTAACTATGATTGATTTTTCAATATCATTTATAACTATGATAGTTATATATAAAAGATATCATTTATAACTATGATCTGGTCCGTCATTTCAAAGAGATTTATAAAATTATAAAATAAAACTACCTTAATAAACCACTCCCCATAACAAAATAAGTTCACATTTGATGTTGGCTAATTGATTCATTGAACCTATAAATTGATTCATTGAACCTATAAATCAAAGTAATATAAATTGATTCATTGATTCATTGAACCAATAGATCGAAGGAATATAAATTGATTCATTGAACCTATAAATCGAATTGTAGGTAATCGAAGAAAATAATGTTGTTAATGAGTTGGCTAATTATGGTTGGAAGCCAAAATTGGGCATGTCATTTGACTCTGAACAAGCTGCATATGATTTTTACAATACCTATGGCGGAAAGGTGGGCTTTAGTATTAAGAAGCTATATGCACACAAGAACAAACATACTAAGGAAATAACTTCACGGACTTTTGTATGTTACAAAGAGGGAACTCGGGGTATTGACAAGCGAGATCCACTAGTAAAATTTCCGAGACAAGAGGTGAGGTGTGGTTGTCGTGCTCGATTTAGTATCAAGTTAGATAGAAATTTAGGAAAATATGTTGCCATTGATTTTGTTGAACATCATAATCATGATCTTGTGCCTCAAGAGTGCATTCATATGTTGCCATCCCAAAGAAAAATATCTACCACCCAAGCAATTGAAGTAGAATTGGCTGCAGAATCTGGAATTCCTCTTAGGTCTGCTTATGAGCTATTTGGTAGGGAATCTGGTGGAAGAGCATCACTTGGCTTCACCAAATTGGACCAAAAAAATTACTTGAGATCGAAGAGACAAAAAGATTTGGAATATGGAGAAGCGGGTAGTGTGTTGCAATACTTTCGTAAGAAAAGTTTAGAAAATCCATCCTTTTATTATGCAGTCCAATTAGATTGTGAAGAGCAAATAAGTAACATATTTTGGGCGGATGCACAAATGATAATGGACTATGCTCAATTTGGTGATGTAGTGACCTTTGACACTACTTACAAATTAAATAATGAACATAGACCTTTTGGAACCTTTGTTGGATTTAATCATCATCGAGAAACTGTTGTATTCGGTGCAGCGTTGATGTATGATGAGACTGCCGAATCATTCACATGGTTGTTTCAGATTTTTTTGGAGGCAATGTCAAACAAAGCTCCAAAAACTATTTTCACCGATCAAGATGCTGCGATGGCTAAGGCCATTCCAATTGTCATGCCTAGTACAAACCATCGACTTTGTACATGGCATTTGATGCAAAATGCTGTGAAGCATGTGAGTTCCCTCTTTCAAGATGGTGGGGTAAAGGGTGTCTTTTCGAAATTTATGCATCAAATTGATGATGAAGAAGAATTCAAAATACAATGGGACCAAATGCTTGATAGGTATGATGCACACAACAATCATTGGTTGGCGCAAACTTTTGGTGTGAAGGAGAAATGGGGATGTCCATATATTATGAATTCTTGGGCAGCTGGAATGAGTACTACTCAACTAAGTGAATCATTCAATGGATTTTTGAATGATTATCTCAATTGTGATCATAACTTGATGGAATTTTTCAAGCATTTTGAGAGGGTGCTCCATGACAAGAGGTATAAAGAATTGGAAGCCGAGTATAATTTGTGTCAAAAATTGCCAAGGGTTTCCATTCCAACTGTGATGTTAAAGCAAATGGCAGATATTTACACCAAAATAATTTTTGAGGAATTCCAAAATGAGTACGTGCAGTCCATTGAAGCGTCCATTGTAGGCACTATTCATGATGGTGAGAGCACCATATTCACAATTCAAACGGATGTAGATGGAAAAAAAGATAAGAATATGACAATGGATAGAGATGGTTTTTTGAGTTGTAGTTGCAAGAAGTTTGAAGTGAAGGGCATAGTGTGTCAACATTGTTTAAAGGTGCTTAGAGAGATAATCAATGCAAAGGACCTTCCTGCACAATACATACTCAAACGATGGACTAAAAAAGCAAGGGCTGAAACTGTGAAAGATAGGCGTGGGTATGATGTGAAGGTTGATGTCAAACTACATCAAAACAACCGATATAGGTCATTGATGAATATGTTTAGAGCTATAGCAATTAGAGCCGCCGAAAGTGAAGAAACTTATCATTTGTCACTTGCAAAAGGTGAAGAACTGAGTGTCATGGTTGAAGACAAATTAAGTGTGCACACTTTTGGTCAAGTGGAGATCACTGAATTCAGAAATTCCTCAGCTAACACATGCCCACAGAGTGATGAAGTAGATTGTCCAATCCAAGCCAAGGGACTGAAGAAAAGACAAGCAACTACTAAGGGAAGAAGGAGGATCAAGGGCGGGATGGAAAAATATATTGCGAAGAAGAAAAGAATGCAATCTAAGCAGGTAATTAATTGAAGTTATGTTTAATTGTTATGTGTTATCAATTTTGTGTTATGTGTGTTACGAAAATAATTTATTAAATAATTTGGTTGTTTGCAGGGTGATAGTTTTTGTACTCTTGAAGGTCAATATGAGCCTCCTGTTGCCATGGGTAATATTTCTAGTCAGGTAATTTTTACTATTGTGTGCAACCTTGTATTAATTTGATGGATTGATTATTCTTGCAACTAGTAGCGTTATATTGATTATTTTTGGTCTTTTGTGATGCACGTAGGATGGTTCTTTTTCTACTTATCAAGGTCAATCTCAACCTTCTTCCGACATGGGTAATCATTCGATACAGGTAATATTTAATTTAGGGTGTTTACCTTTGACATGCATAGACGTTAGGGAAATTGAACCTCATAAGGAATTATGATCTTTGTCTTATTCTTTGCTTTATGTTGGTTTACTTTAGGGTGAACATGAAAATGCATTATGAATTTTTTTTAAAATGCATTGTCTTATTCTTTGCTTTGTGTTGGTTTACTTTAGGGTGTTTACACTCCACAAGGTCAATCTTGACCTCCTTTTGCCATGGGTCGTAGTAATTACGTTCAGGTAATATTTCATATTGTATGTTTTTAAAAATGAAAATACATTATTATTTTTTTAATGGACATTCTTCTTTTATTTATGTTGGTTTACTTTAGGGTCATGGTTGCGAATCCCAATCTCAACCTTCTTTTGCCATGAGTCATACTAATTATGCCGAGGTAATATTTCATATTGTATGTTTTGTAAAATGAAAATACATTATTACTATTTTTCATTTCATACTTTATTTTTTTTACGTTGGTTTACTTTAGGGTGATGGTCGTGCAATCTATATTTCTCAACCTCAATCCCAATCTCGACCTGAATCCCAATCTCAACCTTCATTTGCCATGGGTCGTACAAGTGTACATCATGTCATGTCTCCTACATATGATGTGAGTTGTAATTGGTTACATACTTTACATTGAAAATGTAGTATAGATTCTAAAAAAAGTTTAATACATGTATCACTATTGCAGGGAAATAACACGCCTCAGTCAATACCGCCTGATTCAATGCCTTTATTGTATCCCACTTCGACATCGTTTCAGAAACTGCTTCAAGATAGTACTGCAGTCCAACTGTCGCAAGCCTCACATAGTCCTGCTGACAGTCGTGTGGATGGACATCCCTGGAAGGCTTGCACTGAACGATGATGTTATTATATTTGTGAATTTGGGTGTATTTTTTTTTTATGTTCGGTGGGATTTGGATATTTTTGATGGACAATTTTTTTTTTATGTATTTGTAATGCTTTGTGGGATTTGTATAATTTTTATGGATATATTTTTTTATGTATTTGTAATGTTTGGTGGGTCCTGCTGACAGTCGTGTGGATGGACATCCCTGGAAGGCTTGCACTGAACGATGATGTTATTATATTTGTGAATTTGGGTGTATTTTTTTTTTATGTTCGGTGGGATTTGGATATTTTTGATGGGGACAATTTTTTTTATGTATTTGTAATGCTTTGTGGGATTTGTATAATTTTTATGGATATATTTTTTATGTATTTGTAATGTTTGGTGGGATTTGAATTTTTTTATAGACATTTTTTATTACACCCAAGAAGGGGTGAGAGTTTAGTATTAATGAATTAATGTTTGGTGGGGATTTGAATGTTTGAGTAAAGTATTAATGTATTAATGTTTGAGTAAAGTATTAATGTTTGGTGGGGATTTGAATTTGGGTGAATTGCTCAAGTATAAATCCCAAGAAGGGGTGAGAGTTTTGTTGTTGATTTGGGATGATAACACTTCACATGATAAATTCTTCATTAATACGGTCAGAATCCTTTCTTTGATTCAAAGTTTACTCTGTTTTTCCATTCAATTTTTTGTACTGGTTGGACTGTCCACTTAAATGTGGTAATCTTCATGTTATGGTTTCCATTATAATTCTTCAAATGCCATTTTTCACATTTGTTTAAAAATGTAATTTCTAGAATTGTTTAGTTTACATTCTTAAAAAAAAATGGGTGTTCTGTTCAAGAGTAATTTGAAAGCATTTTTTGCATGTTATGAAAGTGCACAGCTTTAAACTTTGCATGCCATATGATACCAATTCTCACAATTGGGATATTCAAAATAAGAACGGAGATATATAATGCTTAAGTTTGGATGACATCATTAAAAACTAAAATCAATGTTTCTATGTCAATTTGAATTTAAAATTTCCTGTTTTGATTACACCCTGTAATGTAATGGACAGGTTGAACTTATTTCCTGTTTTGATTACACCCTGTAATGGACAGGTTTGATTTTATTTCCTGTTTTGATTACACCCTGTAATGGACAAAAAACACTTATTCCCTGTTTTCATTACACCCTGTAACGGACAGGTAGAACATAATCATAACCATACAAAGTGCACAACATAACCATACAAACAGATTACACAGATTACACAGCTCTGCTGGACAAAATGAACAAAATAACCAAGTGCCATTACATAACCATATAACCATACAAAATTAACAAGTCCAGTTAACTATACAAAGATATAGTTTACCTAACCACATAACCATACAAACTGCCACTAGCTCCCATGGGTCGCAAAGATTACAAAACTATTACATTTTTATAACTAACACGATCCCAATTACAAGCAAGATACACAACCCATAAATACGACTCGAATTTTGATTTATGTCTGTTTCCAACTTAAGCATCTTCGCCCTCATAAATTGAAGTTCTTTGCTTTGAAATCGAAGTTGTTCGTTCATAAGTCGAAGTTGTTGTTCGGTGACAGTTGACATATTTTCCATTTGCACTACTTCTTCACGTCTACCTTGTGAATTTGTAGGCAAGCACCATCCCATAAAATCGCCGCAATTTTTACAACAATAAAATAATTTGTTTCTGTTTTGTTTCGTCTCCGAAATTTGAATAGTTGCTTTCTTATGACATTTAGGGCAATTTCTGTTGTTGAATGTCAACTGATCTGAGGTACCTCCGTTAACAGTTGAACTTGACATCTGTAAAATTATGTACAATATTCATAGTAAAGTTATATACACATTCAACTTCAATCAATAAGTGCACTTGACAAATGGATCTATACTTGCATTAATAACTTCAAGATAACTTCAAGATCCAAACATATTGTTGAAGTTATGTATGCCAAACATATTTATAAATTAAAAAAAGAAAGAAGTTATATATGTCAAACATATTGTTGAATGATTGTGAACTTGTGATATCTCAGTTTGTAATCTAAATCCTTAAACTGGCATTCTTTACTTGAAATCTACCAACTTAACTGTTTGCTCATTCAAAAAATAAAAATAAAAATATTCCCACTCTTTTGCAGACTACCTTTTCCAGAACTGAATTTGAGGGCTAGGATGATCAATGCATGATAGCTTTGGTAAGTAATAAGCTAGTATAGGGTTTGAATCATTGTTTTCAATATATATATGATGTGTATCAGTGTATGTTTTGAATTCAGATTCAACTTCTCTAGCATTCAACAAGTAAAATTTCACAATCTGTATATTTGAGAATTTAAGTTTTGGATGGTTGGTTTTTGTATGTAAATAAAGTAAAAGCATTGAGAATCTGAGGTGAGCTAAATAGAGATTTACAGTATGTTAATGAGCATTCAAGCACATATGATAAATGGAGGTGCCAAGCAACATCTGCAGCAACTGTTAATGTTGCCCTAGATTGGTACAAAAAGAGAAAAAATTGAATAAAATATTAATGAAATATAGTTACATTTTACTTACATTTCACCCACCTTATCTTTTTTCTTTTATAAATTCTAACAAAAAATCATAATCCAAACACAGTGTAAGGCATACTATGACATTATCATAACTTCATGGTATGGTGCAATTTTTGACCTTCTTTATTCTTTATTGATGTATTTTTTCTTAATTTCATTAACAAATATTTTTTTGGTCAATTAAAAAAAAAAAACACATATTTATCGTATACGGTGCTAAAGAAAGAGTCATGGACGAACCTTATTAGACCGCTAGTGCAGTTATCAGGATTGCATATAGAGACTCGACTAAGTGATGGGAAGAACAATGTGGTGCATTTGTAATGTCTACAGGTTATAGGAGCATACTTTGACAAACTTGGGTCAAATTCATTTGCAGTTTACTCAATTACAGTGACAGATGCAGATGAAAAATGATTATCATACTACTTTATTTTCTAGTTATCTATTCTGTAATAGAAAGAAATCTATGTTCAACTGAAATATGTTCTGAGAAATAAGAATTTGTTCACCCTGTTCAAATAAAAATATTTGTAATCCTGTTCTTAAATATGTTAAGAAATATGAGCATGGAATTCTGTTTCTCAAACTCTGTTCATCAACCATTGTCCGAATGGAATCTATGGAACATTGTCTTATTTCTCAAACTCTGTTCATCAACCATTGTCCTATTTCTCAAACTCTGTTTTATTTGAACATATTTAAGAAAGGAATCTATGGAGTCTATGTTCATCAACCATTGTCCGAATCTATGTTCATCAACCAAAAACAGTATGGGCAAAAAAAAGAATGGAAAATCTATGGAAAATCGAAAGGGAAAAATCGAAAAGAATGGAAAGGGAGAGAAACGAACCTCGTCAGTTCACTCTTCCAAATCGTTCAGATCGTCTCTCTCCTTCGTCCTGTATCGTCACCTCACTCTTCCAGATCGTCCAGATCTTCTCCTCTCCTTCGTGTCCTGTGTCTAGGGTTCAAAAATGGAAAGGGGAAAGGTGAATAAGAAGAAAAAAAAGGAAAAAAAAAAAAAATACAAAACGACGTCGTTTTGTAGTGCTGCTGGGAGTGCTGCTGGAAAGAGCGGCCGAAGATTTGAACTCACGCCACACTCTCTCCTCGAGGAGTCCATCACTCCCCACCTGTATCAACCCCCCTACCTACCCAACCTATACACACACACACAGACACACACATCGTCCAGATCGTCTCTCTCCTTCGTCCTGTATCGTCACCTCACTCTTCCAGATCGTCCAGATCTTCTCCTCTCCTTCGTGTCCTGTGTCTAGGGTTCAAAAATGGAAAGGGGAAAGGTGAATAAGAAGAAAAGAAAGGAAAATATATATATATATATATATATATATACAAAATGACATCGTTTTGTAGTGCTGCTGGGAGTGCTGCTGGAAAGAGCGGCCGAAGATCTGAACTCACGCTACACTCTCTCCTCGAGGAGTCCATCACTCCCCACCTGTATTAACCCCCCTACCTACCTAACCTATACACACACACACATATATTATATAAAAAAACATTTTTAATTCCAACTCTCCAATCTCCATTTCCACACTCCCCTTCTCTCTCTCTCTCTCTCAAACCTACCTAGTCTCTCTCTATGGAAGCAGCATCCCCATCTCTCTCCCGCATAGGCCTGGCCGTAATGGGCCAAAACCTAGCTCTGAACATCGCCGACAAAGGGTTCCCAATCTCCGTCTACAACCGCACCACCTCCAAAGTGGACGAAACCCTGGATCGCGCCCACCACGAAAGCGACCTCCCTCTCACCGGCCACTACACCCCTCGTGACTTCGTCCTATCTCTCCAAAAGCCCCGTTCCATCATCATCCTCGTCAAGGCCGGCTCTCCCGTCGACCAAACCATCTCTGCCCTCTCCTCCCACATGGACCCCGGCGACTCCATCATCGATGGCGGCAACGAATGGTACCAAAACACCGAACGCCGCATCCGCCAAGTCTCCGATCAAGGCCTACTCTATCTCGGCATGGGCGTCTCTAGAGGCGAAGAGGGTGCTCGATATGGTCCTTCTTTGATGCCTGGTGGCTCCTACCAAGCGTATCTCAATATTGAAGATATTGTGAGGAAAGTTGCCGCTCAAGTTGAGGATGGTCCTTGTGTGACCTATATTGGGGAAGGAGGGTCTGGGAATTTCATGAAGATGATTCATAATGGAATTGAGTATGGTGATATGCAGTTGATTTCGGAGGCTTATGACGTGTTGAAGAGTGTTGGGGGTTTGTCGAATGATGAATTGGGAGAGATTTTTAGGGAGTGGAATAGAGGGGAGCTTGAGAGTTTTTTGATTGAAATTACGGCTGATATATTCATGGTGAAGGATGAGTATGGAGATGGGGAATTGGTGGATAAGATTTTGGATAAGACTGGGATGAAGGGGACCGGGAAATGGACTGTCCAGCAGGCCGCGGAGCTTTCGGTAGCTGCTCCCACGATTGCAGCCTCGTTGGATTGTCGGTATTTGAGCGGGTTGAAGGAAGAGCGAGAGGTGGCCGCAGAGGTGTTGAGGGAAGCGGGTTTGAAGGAGGAGGTTGGGGCAGTGAGGAGTGGGATTGATAAGAAGAGGTTGATTGATGATGTGAGGTAGGCTTTGTATGCTTCCAAGATTTGTAGCTATGCTCAAGGGATGAACTTGTTGAGAGCAAAGAGTGTAATTCACCAGCATGTTTTGGGATGCTTGATTTATCAAGAGTATCAAGAAAAAATATGATATAATACTCTAATAATTTTTCACCAAAGATTGGGGAAAATATGTTTTGCAAGTGGCAAACGGATGTGGTGTACCATTTCATTCATTTATTGTTTGAAAAAAATATTTTATGTAATGGATATGTTATATGGCAGAATTAATGTGATTTACTTTTTCATTTATTAACTGTCATGTGATAAAAATGAAAATGAAATTGAAAATTAAAAAGCCACTTTGTGTTCAGCCCAGAGTATTGAGTTACATTAAAATTTGGGTAAATTACACAAATCTCCATTGAGATTTAGCGAAAGTAAAATAATTTTATAGTTTTGACATAATTACATTAATATTCTTTTTAGTAAGGGTAAATAAAGAGATTGAAACTAACGCAAATTGTGTGAAAACAAAAAGATAAATAAAGTAAATTATACATTTCAATATGAAAGAGATGACAGGGTCATTTTTTAATCTATATGATTAACGAATTATTAATAAAAACAAAAGTTAAGTATTATTTGAATTAAAAAACTTTAAGAGAATTCAATATAATTACATCAAATTTATAAGACTTATTGTATTTTTTTCTAAATTTTAGAAAAAATTAGGCTCAATTCGGTAAGTTGCTATTTTGTCAAAAAGTAAAAAAAAAAAATTCAATTCAATTCATACAAAAAAATTCAAAGATCCGTTCTCATTCATACTATTTACATATTTTTTTCATAAAAGAATAATTCTATGTACCCCAACTTAACTACCCTGAATTTACCGTGAAAGAAATTGTGTGGTTAGGATTGAATTTGTATAGTGTGGGGTTTATGTGTATAATAAATTCAAACTGCAAGATGATAGTTCTGAATAATTTTTCGATAGTTAAGTTTAAATTTATAATATTATTTTTCGTAAAAAGTCAAAAAAATACTTCAAAACATATTAATTTAATTTTCACTTAAAATTTATTTATTTATTTTTAAATTCTATATAAATTCATAAATGTCTAAAACTTTGACTCCACATTGGTTGATCATGTGAAGAATACTAGGGTACTCATCTCAAGGGGCAAAAAGGCATATTCCTAGGGCAATATTTTACTTTTTTTTTCACCACTTTTTCCCCTAAAAAAAAAATTATGCCACAGAGTGGACGCTTATAATTATATAAAGAAAGAAAGAAAAAGTTTGATTTTCTTTGGCATGATTTTGTTTTTTGTACATCGGAAATAATTGGCATGATTGATACAATAATAGTACTGCTACAAAGAAAGTCTGTTCCATCAGCCAGCTCAAAATGTTAAATTCCAAAAAGTTCTACAACTTTATAAATATTTATATATATTTTTACACAATATTTTATACTAATAATTGTTGACTTGTTTTTAACATTTTGATTTGCTAGATATGGATAGCGGCCAATTAAGAAGAAAAAAAAGCAAGTTAACCACTTCACCATTAGGAAGAAGAAGACAAAAATGAAAAATAAAACTAAAAAGGTGGGCGCCAATAAATCATGAGTTCAAAGTAGCAGGTAGGAGCCAAGTTAACAACTTTGAGATTGGGGTTTTTTTTTTTTTTTTTTTTTTTTTTTTTTTTTTTTCAGTAGTTTTTGTTAGAAAAATTTGGTTTAATTTTTGTTTATAGTTTAGATGACAGAAAAAACTTTACAAAAATTAAATAAATTGATTATCTTAAAGCTAGGAAATGGTGGTTTTAATTTCTATTGTTTGATTATCACATTTTGAATACCAAATAGACTCGTTAAGAGAGAGTATTGTTATACACACCTTATTAAATGATACATAATTTATGTGCTTATGTACTTACATTTTCAATTAATATGGTTGAGTTGTAACCAAAAATGTTACGAAAGTCTAAAAATTAAGACTATTTTGATTGATAATTAAACATTATAAACTCATACAATCAAAATTAATTTGGTTAATAAACAAAAAGATCGCAATGTTTGATTAGAATTAATTTGATACAAAACTAACAAAATTTCATAATTATATTTCATATCTTATTCAAAAGTTTAAACTATCAAAAGTTGTCATATATTTTGTCATTTTGATTAAATTAAGAAAAACATTTTAAAAGTCTTATCTTCTTTATTTATTTATTTAAATTCATAACACATTTCACGTGACAAATATCACGTGACATTATTTATATGGTATTTTCGATAAAAAAAATTCACAAAATAGATGTTGTTGTTTATGAATCAAAATATTTTATTTAAAACTAGATAATAACTACTCTTTTGTAGAACAACGGTTAAGACGTGGTGTCGCTCCACAAGGACTAATCGAGTTGCGTTGATTAAAAAATAATCATTAAAGTAATTTAACAAGTTTGATTTTGAAAACAATAAAACTAAAACTAATTAAGATAATAAAACATAAAAGAAATAAAATAAAATAAGAAATTTCTCAGGTTTCGAATCAACCACTAACCTTGTATTAGTTTTCAAAAATCATTAATTTGGATAATATGATGTATCTTGATCAGAAATATATTATTAAGAGGATTTGAATATTAAAATCCAAAAACATGAATCATTTTCAGTTAATGCCGATTGCTACCACTAAACTATACTAAGTTACGATTGATGTACGATCCATCTTACTAAGTATGACTCGTCTAATAATTTTAATATATAACAATAAAAATAATTGTATAATATGATTTGAATAAAACATTTATTACACAAAAGATCTAAAAGTTATATAATACATTCAAATCAAATTAAAAACAAAAATACTAAATACAATAAAACCTCTAATTACTTGGTCAGGGTACCCTAAGAAGAAAATATTTTAAGTTCACATAATTATAGATACACAACTCTAACATATGAAAAAGACTCTGTCTCTGCTACTCTTGGCTAGAACTCTCTCCTGAGCTCTGCTCTCCTCTCTCTTTAGAGCATCTCCAACCTCCTCTATAACTTTATATTTGATGGATTTGCTTCTCTAACATATCCTTTAAATCCATCTCTATTTGGAAAGAGGATAGGTTGATCCTCTATATTTGAAGGGATGATGAAAAATAGAGGATCCTCCCTCTAAAACATTATTTATTCTATATTTTTTTATCATATTACAAATAACTTTTAATATGTAAATTTAATTTTTATAAAATTAGCATCATTAAAAAGGGTGAAATTATACCTTTAAAGATATGGATAACGAAAGTAGTGAATTAGGGTTTGGAATGAAGAGAGTTGATGGAGGAATGTGGGAATTGATAGATGAAATGTGAAAGTAGCAAGAGATTGAACCGAATAAGAAGAAAATGAAGCAACTATTTTTGTCTTCTCATCTGAAAAAAAAAAAAAATTTGTGATTAGAATTTAAATAAATAGTGACATATTCCATATTTATTTTTTGAATAAAAAAATTAATTTTTATCCTCTTGATAAGAGGGCTAGGTTGAAGATACTCTTATAAATGAGTTGGACCTGCAAAAGAAAGAACGTAAATAAATAAATAAAATATATAATATAATATATAGAGATTGGGGTGGTTAAAATATATAATATAATATTTAGAGATTGGGGTGGTTGGGCATTAAAGACTGTCTTTTTCATTAATTTTCTTTACTTAATTAATTATTATTATTATAATAATAATAATAATATAATATAATATAATATATATGTAATTCTGTTGGATTTCGCCGCCCGTAAATCTTATTTATTTACTTTATTATATTTATTAAAGAAAATTGATGACAAATTTAATTTCAAAATCGCGTGAGGCATTACGTTTATTAGATAATTATTTTTGATGAGAAGTATATGTTTTGGGCATTACGTTTATTAGATAATTATTTTTGATGAGAAGTATATGTTTTGTCAAATATTGTGGTGAAAAATCTTTGTTGTTTCTAAGGACATTTTATTTCTAGATTTATTCTTTTATGTTGATTTTTTGTAACTTATTTGTTCAAATTGTTCAAAAAAATTATCTATTGAAATTTTTATCTGTTGAAATTATCTATTCAAAATTTCATTCTGTTGAAATCGTTCAAAAATCTATCTATCTATTGAAATTATCTTTCTTTTTTTTCCTTATCTGTTCAACAAAGCTGTCACAATCTTTAATTTTTTTATTTGCTGAAACAATGATTTATACAAATTTTTCTCTTTCTATCTATCTATTGCATATCACCGAGCTTATTAAACCTATCTATGTTAAATAATTATATGTTAAACTTATTTGTGTGAAATTCTTATTAGAGATAAAAAAAATTGAACATATCGATCATCCATTTTAACCGTCCCTCTCTCCCTCTCTCCTCATCTATTCAACACAAGAACAAAAAAAGAAGAAGATAAACCACAAATGTTTGACAAATATTTCTTATTTTCCATATTTGACAAATATTTTTTTTCATATATTTTCATGGCAAATTGAGATAATCCACAAACTCAATATCAATTTTGTATTTCACGTTTTTCTTCTTAATTCTTTTAAGGGTATTAGGATTTTTTTTAATGCTAAATTACGTTTTTTGTTTCTTATTTTCCCGTATATTATTCTATACCCAATACTAATTTTATATTATTATATATTATAGATTTGTCGTTTAAATTTTATAGTGATTCTATGTATAAAATTCTATTTCATTTCCTATATTATTCTATATAATCACAACTCATAAGAGGAAAAACTTGTACAACAATGTTACTTTCGAGGAACCTTTAAAGTTTGGATTTATTGCTTGAGTTATTTTTTTAATTGTTGAATAGTAGTTCTTTTATATTTTGACATCATATTACAGATGATTAATCATTTCACATACTGAGATTTATCTATTGTTTGGATGTTTTTGTTATTTTTTCTTGGGATTTTTGGTGAAATCCCTCTTTTGGGCCTTTTTATTAGGGTAAAGAATGACCCAATCAATTTTCTTTCAAAAAGTCCCTAAGTAGGAAATGCCTACCTTAATAAGGACATTTTATAATTTCTATTTTTTTTTTATCACAATATTGTCCTTTTATGTATACGTATCATACATTTGAAATATTTGAAATCTGAGCTGAAGATCTTGCAGGAACGAAATCAGGAACGAAATCGATGAAAATGATCTCCAAATCTAAAGATCTCGCAACCAAAGATCTTTCACTTGGTAAACAATAGACGATCTCGCCGCCGACGATCAACACTCTCAATTAAACGAGAGTTTCATTGAGATTTGTGATTGTTGATCGAGTTTTAGAAGTTTTTCTTCTCAATTAGATATGTTGATTTGTTGATTAATTTGTTTTGTTTTTGTTTGTTTGTTTTTTTTTTTGGATTTATTTTTGTTATGTTTTGATCTAATTTCATTTGACAGAACCAGAGTAAAATTTTACTCTAGTTCTATTGCTCTGTTTTTTGTTTTAGATAATGAAAGTAAAATTTTACTCTGGTTCTATTGCTTTATTTTTTGTTTGAGAGAATTAGAGTAAAATTTTACTCTGGTGTTGGAATGACAGTAAAATTTTGCTGTCAAGAGGTGGTCATTGCCAAACACTTCAGCCGCCACAAACACTGCCTCCGTTTTTTTACTTTTTTGCAGAGTAACATTTTACTTTTAAATTCAGAGTCTAACATGTTACTCGTTTTTCAAAATAAAATTTTACTTTTATACAGAGTAAAATTTTACTTTTAGCTTTAGAGTGTAACATTTTACTCTTATTCAGATTAAAATTTTACTTTTATACAAAGTAAAATTTTACTTTTAAATTCAGGGTGTAACATTTTACTCTTAGATTCAGAGTGTAACATTTTATTCTTATTAAGTAAAATTTTACTTTTACATTCATATCTCAAGTTGTGTTGGTGACACACTGTATGAGTTGTCAATCTTTGGCAAACTTAATAGTAAAAATTAACTCTAAAATCTAGTATAATGTTACACTAAGCCACAATAAAATTTTATCAACACAAATGACTTTTGGACTTGTGGTGACAGTAAAATTTTACTTTGATAGTGACAGTAAAATTTTACTTTGATTGATAGTAAATTTTTACTGTTAATTGTTTCATATTTCCCCACTTATATGGAAGGACATTTCAGTCAATTCATGACATTTTTTTAATTGAGGGGCTTTTGGAGTCATTGTTTAATTCCGTGGGCTTCACACAAAATAGGCCCAATGGGAGGGGCTTTTCACCAAAAATCCCCTTAATTTAGGGGGGACGGAGAGGGTGTTTGATGAATCAAGGGTAGATTTTTTTTTTTAGCCTAATTATGTTGTGTATTGTATTGATTTTTGGTTTTGTTGTTCTTTGTGTGTGGTGGTAGTGGTCGGTGTTGGATTGTTATAGTGGAGAATTGAAGGATGAGGTAGGGTGGAGGAGAGGGTAGATGAGTGTGGTGGAGGAAAGTGAGAAAGATGGAGAGAGGTAGGGTGTAAAAATGGCTTGTCGGCCCGAGGCCCGACCAGGCCTGCCCATATCCCCTCGTGCGAGGGCATGGGCCATGGGTTTTTTGGCCCGGCCTAGCCCAAGGCCCATTGGCCCAATCTGAGGCCCGGCAAGCTCGACGCCTAACTTAATTTTTAAGCTATTTTTGTTTTTTTTTTTAAAAAAAATAAAATAAAATAAAAAAAGCCAAGCCTGCCCCAGGCTCGATTACCCACTAGGCCCAGATTTTGCACAAGTGGCTTGGCCCGATTTTTGGCGGGAGCTTGACAAGCTTGATGGTGGGCCGACTTGGGCCAGGCCAAAATTACACCCCTAGAGAGAGGGCATTTTTATCACTTCACATTTTCTATTAACGGAGTTAACTTTTGAGGCGCATTAAGGGATGCCAGTCTCATTTCTCCATACTATTGGGCCTGTTGTTATTTGGGCACTAGTTAGGGGAGGTCCTGTAATTTGCCCTTCTTTTTTTAATGGTACTTCATTTGTTGTTTTACATATGTGGCCAAGTCTTGATTGAATTTTTCGGGATGTGGTTGCGTCATATATATATCCACAAGGTTGCTTGTTTGTCCGTCGCACATGTTGTTGGGATCATTTGTGAGAATAAGCTATTAAGCTCAGTTGTCATGACTCTTGGTTAATTGATGCAAATTACTGAGAAACAACATTTTCAAACGGAGTTGCTGTTGGTCTCTACTTAGCAGCCATTTTGGTCCAAAATGTTGATAAACAAATGTCTAGTTTCTAATTGTTTCAATTTGTCCCATGGTCTTTCATTGCAGCAACTGGCCCACGTTTCCACAGATATTCATCAAGGGGAGTTTGTTGGAGGATCAGACATCATTCTCAACATGCACCAGGTATTCTCATACCAAAATTGTTATTCTTTGGCCTGGTATACATTGCTTTAATGGTTTGGTCTGTCATGTAGACTGGCGAGTTGAAGGAAATGCTTAAAGATATTGCAGCCAACCAGGAGAATTAAGAGTAAGTTTATCATTACTGAACATGTAGAGTCACCAAGGAATATAGTTATCTTTGATGATGAAGAATTATGGGATATAAGCACGTTCAGCTTTGAATGTTTGTTGACTTGATCCAATAATGTTTAGTTAAAGTACGGATCCCATCCTTTGATGTTTAATGTTCTTGGCTACCAAAATTTTGAATGTGAGTCAGTGTAGAAAACGTTGTGAATAATTGGACCATTGAGGATAAAATAAATTAGCCCTCTCTCTAAGCTTTTGGAAGAGTTCATATTGCAATCTTTTGGTGAGACAATAGCAAGAATCATATCAACTTGTCTATTCAAGCATATAAAGACATCATGCACATATTTTGTACTGCTTAAGGAGGTTTGTTTTTTCATATTCTATGTCTCTCTGCTTGGTTTCCACAAGCTTAGGAAGTTAAATTCCAAAATAGATTCAGATTTCATGGTTTAAATTTTCAATTTTCCTGGAAAATCTGTTCCCAAGAGGGAAATTCTTTTTATCTTTCTCAGATATAACACTGATCAAAACATTTTATGATGGTGATAGTACTGAAAACACAGTGTTTTCTTAAGCAAGGTGTTTACAGTAACTTCTAAAAACAAATTTCTGAGTGTGGGAATGCAACTGAATGATCAAGAGCAGTGGGTTTGTAACAATGAAAAGTTTGAAAATGCAAACTATTTCCATATCACCTTTTGTGCCGAAATAGTTTTTGAAAAGCTAAAAAACAACTTTTTGGTGGTTCCTAAAAATTGGGTTGTTTTTTAGTAAAACAGTTTGCCAACAAGTTTAGGGTTTCTGCAGCTCTCAACCCACATGTACCTCATACATTGAATACTGGTTATGCTTTGCTTTAACAATCAACACTTAATTTTTCATCTTCAATCACCAAATGTCTGATCTATAGGACTCTCTTATCCATTGTTTCAGATTTGCAGCATCTTAAAGACAAGAAAATACAGAATGGAAGAAGGTCCATGGACCAGTTTCTGTGGAAGTTCTGCGTGTTCACACGAACACAACTGCACATCAGGCTTTGCTGCAATTTTCAATCCACATTCATGCCCCAACCATGTTTTGGTCATTGCTTTTGATATCATTGTCTTTCTCATCTGTTTGTTTACTGTCATCTACAAATCAAACTCAAAAAAGGTCGTAGCCTCGCCCCATTCCCTTCACTGTTTGCCAATTTCCTCAGCCATTTTCAATGGCGGGTTAGGCTTTGCTTACTTGGGTTTCGGGGTTTGGACAATTCAAGAGAAATTGAGATCAGAATATAGTTTAATACCTCTTCATCAATGGCTAGTGGTGTTGTTTCAGGGCTTTACATGGTTGTTGCTGAGTCTAATTGTGAGCCTCAATACGCAACAGAGTCGACATATCGTAACAGTAAAGCTTTGTTCTGTACTTGCCTTGTTGTTTTCAGTGTTTCTATGCATTCCATCTGTTTGGGAAGCCATTGAGGAGAGAGTAGCATCGGTTAAGACTGTGCTAGATATCATGACCTTTCCCGTAGCAATTCTAATGATCTTTTGTGCTTTTCGAGCACAAACAAATGAAGGAATTGAGCCCAACACCAAGTTTGATTCACTCTATGAACCTTTACAATCTAAAGAAGCTGATACGGATGGTGAAATCGACACAGATGAGTCAGATGACGATGTAACTCCTTTCGCCAAGGCTGGATTTTTAAGCAAAATGTCATTTTGGTGGTTGAATCCATTACTAAAGAAAGGCAAGGCGAAAGTTCTCGAGGACAAAGATATTCCAAAGCTACGTGAAGTTGATCGAGCAGAGACGTGTTACTTGACGTTTATGGAGGAGCTAAGGAAGCGAAAAGAGAAAGGAACGGCACAGAACCCTCCTTTTCTGTCGACAATCTTTTTCTGCCAGAGGAGAGCTCTTTTGATATCCGGGTTTTTTGCGTTGCTCAAAGTACTCACACTGTCTACAGGACCGGTGCTTTTGAAAGCTTTTATCGATGTTGCACAAGGCAAAGAAGCGTTTAAATATGAGGGATATGCGCTTACCTTGGGGCTTTTCCTTGCAAAATGCTTGGAATCAGTGTCGGAGAGACAATGGTACTTCCAAACTAGACTAATTGGGCTGCAAGTAAGATCTTTGCTATCTGCAGCAATCTATGAGAAGCAACTCCGACTTTCAAATGCTGCGAAGACCACTCACTCTCCGGGGGAGATAACAAATTATGTCACGGTTGATGCGTATAGAATAGGGGAATTTCCATACTGGTTTCATCAGATATGGACAACGAGCCTTCAGATATGCCTCGCGTTTATTATCATGTACTATTCTGTGGGGTTAGCAACTATTGCGGCGGTGGTAGTGATCATTGTGACTGTTTTTGGAAATTACCCGGTGGCCAAATTACAGCACAAACACCTGACAAAGCTCATGGCAGCACAAGACAAGAGGCTAAAGGCAATCACCGAGGCACTCGGAAACATGAAGGTTTTGAAGTTGTATGCTTGGGAGACGCATTTCAAGAGCGTTATAGCAAGGCTAAGGAATGATGAATCAAGCTATTTAGCGGCTGTTCTGTCACAAAGAGGGTACCATTTGGTTCTGTTTTGGTCGTCCCCAACCATAGTTTCAGCTATTACTTTCTGGACTTGTTACTTTCTTGGAATTCCTCTCAATGTTAGCAATGTTTTTACGTTTCTCGCAACGCTGCGAATCCTTCAGGAGCCCATCAGGTTGATCCCTGATATTGGGACAGTGTTTATTGAAGGAAAAGTTTCGTTCACTCGAATAGTGAAATTTCTCGAGGCACCTGAGTTGCAGGATAGGAATTTGAAGCAAAAGCACGATGCAAAGGGACACGAGAAATCTATATTTATCAATTCCTCTAGGATTTCATGGGATGCTAGTTCTTTAAAGCCTACTCTAACCGACATAAATTTGGCGGTTAAACCTGGTGAGAAGATAGCTGTATGTGGAGAGGTTGGCTCGGGTAAATCAACCTTTATAGCGACAATTCTTGGAGAAATTTCAAACATCAATGGCATAGTAAGTTTTCATTTTCACTTCTTTCTTTTCTAAACCACAATGGCACACACAATGTCTTGTTCTCCACATCTATGGAAGTGCAAGAATGAAAAGTTTTTACTACAGACTCTAGACCAATATACTCTATTCAACCCGTGTCGTTTCTGCTTCATTTTCCAGGTTCAAGTACATGGAAAGATTGCCTATGTTGCTCAAACAGCATGGATCCAAACAGGAACCATACAAGAAAACATTCTCTTTGGGTCCAACATGGATTTCCATAGATACCAAGAAGTACTTGAAAAGTGTTCCCTAATAAAGGACCTCGAGATGCTTCCATTTGGCGATTGCACCATAATAGGAGAACGGGGCGTTAATCTCAGTGGTGGGCAGAAGCAACGCATTCAACTTGCACGTGCACTATATCAAGACGCAGATGTTTATCTCTTGGATGATCCATTCAGTGCTGTTGATGCACATACTGCAACCAGTTTATTTAATGTGATCATAATTCTCATCTCAATCTTTTTTATTTTTTATTTTTTTTGAAGCTAATATGGGTTAGGTCCAGGAATATGTCATGGAAGCTCTAGCAGGGAAGACTGTCTTGCTTGTGACACACCAAGTCGACTTCCTACCAGCATTTGATACTATCTTGGTTAGGAATTTAAGTACTTTTATGTTAATTTTCCTGTTGTCCTTAAATTTACATTACATGTTGGTTTTTGAATTCTTTTAGTAAAGCGGTTCACATATTTTGTTCATTATTGATTTTGTTGACAGTTAATGTCGGATGGAAAGATCGTGGAAGCAGCTACCTATGATCAGTTGCTAACTTCTAGTCAACAATTTCAAATCCTTGTCAACGCTCACAAAGACACTGCCGGTTCTGAGATGCAAACCGAGTACTCTTCTCAAAGGCCTAAAACCTCCAAAGAAGAAATCCAGAAAATTTATACCAAGGAACAGCTAAAAGAATCGTTAGGAGACCAGCTGGTTAAGAAAGAAGAAAGAGAAACAGGCGATGCCGGTTTCAAGCCTTACATACAGTATCTGAATAAGAGCAATGGCTTCTTGTACCTCTCTCTGGCTGTTATCATTCAGATTATCTACATAATTGGGCAATTTGTGCAGAGTCTCTGGTTGGCTGCCGACGTACAAGACTATAGTGTCAGCAGATTGGAATTGATCTTAGTTTACACTTTGATTGGGTGTGGAATGTCGATCTTCTTGATCGTTAGATCTTATTTTGTAGTTGTTTTAGGCCTTAAAACTTCAAAATCTATTTTTTCCAAGTTAATGACATCTCTTTTTCGAGCTCCAATGTCCTTCTACGATTCAACGCCATTGGGAAGAATTCTCAGCCGGGTAAGAATCTCTACTGTGTAAAACAATGTATTTTATGCTTTGACAAATTTATGAGATTTTGCCTCAAATTTTTATTTTTGGGGGTATAGGTATCGTCTGATCTGAATATGGTGGACCTTGAATTGGCATTCAAGTTCAGTGTGAGCATAGGGGCAACGATGAACACATATTTTAGCTTCTGCGTTTTGGCTATCATCACCTGGCCAATCTTGATTGTCATCATACCCATGGTTTATGTTACCATACTCTTACAGGTAATATATTCTGTTTTTTTATTTATTTTGCACGAATTTAAAATGAGAGGGATGAGAAAATTTAGAGATACAGAAAAAGTGCACATAACACAAGGGTGGTGTGCGCGCAAACCACCATACTATTTATACGTTTTTTTAATCTTTTCATACAGAGATTCTACTTTGTTTCTGCAAAGGAGTTGATGCGAATCGTTGGCACAACTAAGTCTTCACTTGCAAGCCATCTTGGTGAATCCATTGCTGGAGTAGTGACTGTTAGAGCTTTTGGAGAGGAAGATCGATTCTTTTCAGAGAACTTGCGCCTTATTGATGCAAACGCGAGTGCATTCTTCCACAATTTTTCAGCAAACGAGTGGTTGATCCAACGCCTAGAAATCCTGTGTTCAATTGTCCTCTCCTGCTCTGCGCTTGCCTTGACTTTGTTCCCACTCGAAGCTTCTAAATCAGGTTTGTAATCATTATCACTAATACACTATCACTTGTCCAATTTTTTCTCTCATAATTTCATATGACAGCACAAAAAATTGTGCTGCCTAATATCAAACATTTCATCTAAATGATAGTGATCAATTGTATGATCATCCAATGAGCGTTTTTTTTGCCATCCAGGATATATTGGAATGGCTCTATCATATGGTCTTTCGCTGAACTTGTTCGTAGTTGGTTCTGTCCAAAGCCAGTGCATGATATCGAATTTGATTATTTCTGTAGAAAGGCTAGAACAGTACTTGCATATTCCTAGCGAAGCCCCTGAAATAATAGAAAGCAATCGACCTGCACTGACCTGGCCAGAAGTTGGTAAAGTGGAGATCTGTAATTTGAAGGTAAAAAAAAATTGGCAATATGGTAATCGATTTCATTGCTTTCTTTGTTTTACAATCTGAAACTTCATTAAATGATATTGAGCAGGTTAGGTATCTGCCTAATGCTCCTCTGGTGCTTCGAGGGGTCAGTTGCGTGTTCGAAGGAGGGCACAAAATTGGGATTGTTGGAAGAACCGGTAGTGGGAATCTGGCTGTTATCGTTCACATTATCTACATAATTGGGCAATTTGTACAGAGTCTCTGGTTGGCTGCCGACGTACAAGACTATAGTGTCAGCAGATTGGAATTGATCTTAGTTTACACTTTGATTGGGTGTGGAATGTCGATCTTCTTGATCGTTAGATCTTATTTTGTAGTTGTTTTAGGCCTTAAAACTTCAAAATCTATTTTTTCCAAGTTAATGACATCTCTTTTCCGAGCTCCAATGTCCTTCTACGATTCAACGCCATTGGGAAGAATTCTCAGCCGGGTAAGAATCTCTACTGTGTAAAACAATGTATATTATGCTTCGACAAATTTATGAGATTTTGCCTCAAATTTTTATTTTTGGGGTATAGGTATCGTCGGATCTGAATATGGTGGACCTTGAATTGGCATTCAAGTTCAGTGTGAGCATAGGGGCAACGATGAACACATATTTTAGCTTCTGCGTTTTGGCTATCATCACCTGGCCAATCTTGATTGTCATCATACCCATGGTTTATGTTACCATACTCTTACAGGTAATATATTCTGTTTTTTTATTTATTTTGCACGAATTTAAAATGAGAGGGATGAGAAAATTTAGAGATACAGAAAAAGTGCACATAACACAAGGGTGGTGTGCGCGCAAACCACCATACTATTTATACGTTTTTTTAATCTTTTCATACAGAGATTCTACTTTGTTTCTGCAAAGGAGTTGATGCGAATCGTTGGCACAACTAAGTCTTCACTTGCAAGCCATCTTGGTGAATCCATTGCTGGAGTAGTGACTGTTAGAGCTTTTGGAGAGGAAGATCGATTCTTTTCAGAGAACTTGCGCCTTATTGATGCAAACGCGAGTGCATTCTTCCACAATTTTTCAGCAAATGAGTGGTTGATCCAACGCCTAGAAATCCTGTGTTCAATTGTCCTCTCCTGCTCTGCGCTTGCCTTGACTTTGTTCCCACTTGAAGCTTCTAAATCAGGTTTGTAATCATTATCACTAATACACTATCACTTGTCCAATTTTTTCTCTCATAATTTCATATGACAGCACAAAAAATTGTGCTGCCTAATATCAAACATTTCATCTAAATGATAGTGATCAATTGTATGATCATCCAATGAGCGTTTTTTTTGTCATCCAGGATATATTGGAATGGCTCTATCATATGGTCTTTCGCTGAACTTGTTCGTAGTTGCTTCTGTCCAAAGCCAGTGCATGATATCGAATTTGATTATTTCTGTAGAAAGGCTAGAACAGTACTTGCATATTCCTAGCGAAGCCCCTGAAATAATAGAAAGCAATCGACCTGCACTGACCTGGCCAGAAGTTGGTAAAGTGGAGATCTGTAATTTGAAGGTAAAAAAAAATTGGCAATATGGTAATCGATTTCATTTCTTTCTTTGTTTTACAATCTGAAACTTCATTAAATAATATTGAGCAGGTTAGGTATCGGCCTAATGCTCCTCTGGTGCTTCGAGGGGTCAGTTGCGTGTTCGAAGGAGGGCACAAAATTGGGATTGTTGGAAGAACCGGTAGTGGGAAGACAACTCTGATCAGTGCCTTGTTTCGCTTGGTGGAGCCTACGGAGGGAATGGTCATTATTGATGATCTAGATATCAGTACGATCGGGCTTCATGACCTTAGATCACACTTAGGGGTCATTCCACAAGATCCAACTCTCTTTTGTGGGTCTGTGAGATTCAATCTAGACCCGTTATCAGAACACACTGATCAAGAAATATGGGAGGTAAGGTTTCTAGATCTAACTTGAGCTAAAAGACCAAATTTTGATTGTTCTACTAACCAAACCAAACCAAACGAAACCAAGCCTTAAGTCCCATCAAATGGGGTCGGTTACATGAATCCTTCTTCTCCACGCGGCTCTACTAACAAAAAAAAAAAAAAAGACATAAAACTACTATTCTAAGTGGTTATACATGTTCTTGAATTGTTATACTAATTAGCTGTGGATCAGAAATACTGATCACTAATCGCTATGCATAGCCTTCAAGGTGGAAGATAGTGGCAGTCTTTTGTTTTAAATTTTATTTTCTGATTTGAAGATAAGTTGTATCAAATCAAATTTCATTTTTTTTTTAGGCATTAAACTTTCACTTCCATACATTCTTTTCATGATTTCAAGCATCTGTCTAACATATATAGACAAAAGAGGAAATAGTAAAGCATTCGTTATTTTCATTTTTGTTTTTTTTAACAAAACCAGTCTTCAATAATTCAAAACAACTTTTTGGTATTTCCAAAGGGTTGTTTTCAGAAAACATTTCTGAATTCAGTTTTTGGAAACAGTTTTCCAAACAAAATTACTGATACTATTGTAAACCATGTTTTGGAAGGTTCTTGAAAAATGTCAGCTTCGAGAGGCAGTTCAAGAGAAAGCAGAGGGCTTGAACTCTTTAGGTAAAATTGAAGAGTTTGTAGGCATACAAATTGACCTTTCTTCTAAAAGTTGTTGAATAACAACATATTTTGCAGTTGTGCAAGACGGATCAAATTGGAGCATGGGACAGCGACAGTTATTTTGTTTGGGACGAGCGTTACTGAAGAGAAGGAAGATACTGGTTCTTGATGAAGCCACTGCATCAATCGACAATGCAACCGACTCCATCATACAGAAAACCATTCGGACAGAATTTGCAGACTGCACTGTCATCACTGTAGCCCACAGAATTCCAACTGTGATGGACTGCACAATGGTGCTTGCTGTTAAAGACGGTGAGTCCTTGTAGAATTGCGTATAAAATGAATGAAAACACAATAAAAAAACAAGATCTTGGAATTTCTATTACTCGTAACTCAAAATGAATTTGACTGAAACTCTAAATCGAGTAGTCAAATATTTTTTGAAAACAGTAAATTTTCACTCAAAATGTGTTTGGGGTTTTCAACCTGATCTGACAATCTTGAAAAATCTCTCAAATTACCGTTTGGCCACTAAACGGTCAAATTACTATATGAACTTGCAATCTAACTGCAATGCATCATATATCCTTGTGTGCACAATGAAAATTCTGCATTGTTTACATTTGCAGGGCAATTGGTGGAGTATGATGAGCCGATGAAGCTCATGAGTAAAGAGGGTTCGCTGTTTGGGCAGCTGGTTAAGGAATACTGGTCTCATTCTGGAAACGCTAATGGTGTGGACTCAGAGGATTTGAAGCAATAGCTTAGTAGTTGTAAGAATAACTAATAAGGTGTTAATGGTATTGTGTAATGTGTTTTTGGGATGTCGTTGCTATTTCTTTGAAATAAACACTACATCTGTTGTGCGCCAGATATGCATCACAATTTGAGTAACGTTTTTGAATTTCAATTACTACACCTATTAGAACTTAATTTTTTTAGAATTATGTGTTGGAGATGTTCTGAGAAATTAAAATTCAAGACCCGAAAACTTACAAAACTGTGTAATATTGGCACTTCCACAGTACCTAGTAAGTAGTAACTTATGATTCATGAAATGAGGTGAGTAACCATTAAGTTGCCAATTGTTCCAAAAATTTAAGCAGTTAGGAAATGAATTCAGCTAACAAGGACAGTGTGAAGTCATGACGAGCATTTTTTATATTTTAGAGTCACAACAGAGTAAATAGTTCAAAACAAACACTTCAAATATGATCATATTTTGAATTGCAATAGGAGCATCTTTAATGTTATTAAATGTCAAATTTAGAATGTTATTACTAAATTTGGGCTATACTACACTACATAAATGCTACAATTTTTTAACTTTGCGCTATTGCTTGCATAATCATCATCTCACCTTTTCAAATATGGTTGGATCTCTATAAATTACATTTACTTGTTGATAGCAATGCCAAAATTTGATAATTTATTAAAATTTGTATTAAATTTGAAACAATATAAAAATTTGGCACTACTTCAATGACAATTCCATTGGAGCGCCCAACATTTCACAATTTTTTTTCCCATCAAATTTGTTCAACAATTTAGATAAAAGCTTGATTTGGTAGAACTTATCCCAATTTTTCATCAAATTATCCAAAAAAACCTCCTCTAACCAATTCAAGTGAAAAAAATACTGATGTTCAATATTTCGAGGGTGTTTGGTGGAGCTTTTTTAAGCCAACTTATGACTTCTGGCTTTTAAAAAGTTATTTTGGACTGTTTGGTTAAACTTATTTCAAACAGCTTCTGATTCTAACAACTTATTTTAAGTCAAAAAAGCTGATTCTGAGAAGCTGCTCACCTATTGCTTCTGATTATCAGATTCTGCTGTGGACATGTTAATTCACGGTTATACTCTTACATTTTTTTATTTTTTTAAAAATAGAAAAAGACTCAAATGGACTATTAAATATTATTATTATTTTTTATGAAAAATGTAGACAAATAGTGAATAATAAAATATAAAAATTAATTGAAAAAGCTACTTCACAGCTTATTTAACAAACACTACTCAACAACTTAAATCTATAATCCAACAGTTATACTAAACAGATTAACAACTTCTGATTAAAGTCATAATGTATAATCTGTTAAGCTATAATCTATAATCTGTTTTAACAGCTACATCAAACAGCACCTTCATCTTTCATAAGTAGAGAGAGTACGCAATTGGAGCGGTTGAGAGCTTTTCTCTCTAAACTTTTCTCTTCTTAGGGTTTCAAGAGTGCAACGGCCATCAGGGTGGGAGAGGGGCTTGCGGCGGCCTCTAGCCTCGCGTCTTCTTCTCCTACCCCTCTTTTCTTCTTCCCTTTCCTTGCTTTGGTCTAGGGGTTGGCGCGGGTCAGTTGCGGCCATGGAAACTCCAATCCGCCATCCCTTCGCCAGATTGGTGGATTGGAGAAAATCAATCCGCATCTGTTCGCCAATCCGGCGGATGTGGATTGAGCGGATTGGCTGTTTGGCGGATGGATGCGAATCGGTTTGGCGGTTTAAAATTTTATAAATTTTTAACATAATTCAACTTGTGCACTTCCTCAAAAAAAAAATATTACAATCACTGCATGCCTCATCCAAAGTAAGAAATTTTGAAACTTTAGAATATTACAATCATTGCATGCCTCATGCACATACTACAATCATAGCATGACTCATCCACATAAAGTATTACAATTTGTGGTTCTTAAAATATAAAAACAATTCAAACCACCAAAACCATGAACAGAGTAGTAGTGGAGATTGTATGCCTTTTTATTGTCACATTTATATTTGTTTTTGAAAACAAAAACCAACCAGCATATATCATATTTTCTATTCATTATTTTTAGAAATAGATTTAAAAACTAAAAAATATAGATAAATAATACGTTTATTTTTTTTCAATTGAAAAAAGATATTCAGGTTGAAAACTTTTTTTCAACAGAATATTTAAACTCTTTTTTAATTGAAAATACAAACAGAGTATTTAAACAAACTGAAAACACAAAGGCTTATAAATTACTGGGGGTGCTCACGGTTTGACGGTTCGATTGTGGCCAAAGGAATCTCAAATTCGCCATCCGTCCGCCAGATTGGCGGATTGGAGAAAATCAATTCGCAATCGTCTGCTCGTTATCACGCATCCGTCCAAAATGCGGCGGATCGGTTCAGTTCGGTCGGTTTTGGCGGATCGGTATATCTGCTGCTCACCCCTACTTTGGTCCAATAACTTGGAAATTTTGGATTTCCATTTTTTCTCTCCTCGGTGAAGTGTTTGTTTTCCTTTGCCTCAACTTCGGCCATGGCTTTCGTCAAATCCGCCCTTTCCCTTCCGTCCCGCCTCCACCTGGCATTGTCCATCATAGCTAGATTTGTCGCCCTTCATTATCCTATCTGCCGCCTTCTCTTGGCCTGCTGGACGCCGCCTTCCTTCCCCTGCTCTGCCACCTTATTCCCTGCCAAATTTGCTTGTCGTTGCTAAAGTTTTGGTTTTGTGGGTCTGTTTGCCTTTGTTTTTCTAGCTTGCCTTGCTTTAGGTTTGCCTTGCTGTTTTGTTGCTTTATTTTATGGTTTGTTTGTAGATTTACTTTTCTGTTTTCTGGTTGCCTATATTTTGTAGGTTTTCGTATTGTTTTGTTTGTTGGTGAGTCCATTCGGTGGTGATGTTAAACTTACCCTCTATCTGGTGGGGGTCTATAAATTCTTCCAAAACCTAGCTCTGAACATCGCCGACAAAGGGTTCCCAATCTCCGTCTACAACTGCACCACCTCCAAAGTGGACGAAACCCTGGATCGTGCCCACCGCGAAGGCGACCTCCCTCTCACCGGCCACTACACCCCTCGCGACTTCGTCCTATCTCTCCAAAAACCCCATTCCATCATCATCCTCGTCAAGGCTGGCTCTCCCGTCGACCAAACCATCTCCGCTCTCTCCTCCCACATGGACCCCGGCGACTCCATCATCGATGGCGGCAATGAATGGTACCAAAACACCGAACGCTGCATCCGCCAAGTCTCCGATCAAGGCCTCCTCTATCTCGGCATGGGCATCTCTGGAGGCGAAGAGGGTGCTCGATATGGTCCTTCTTTGATGCCTGGTGGCTCCTATCAAGCGTATCTCAATATTGAAGATATTGTGAGGAAAGTTGCCGCTCAAGTTCAGGATGGTCCTTGTGTGACCTATATTGGGGAAGAAGGGTCTGGGAATTTCGTGAAGATGGTTCGTAATGGAATTGAGTATGGTGATATGCAGTTGATTTCGGAGGCTTATGACGTGTTGAAGAGTGTTGGGGGTTTGTCGAATGATGAATTGGGAGAGATTTTTAGGGAGTGGAATTGAAGGGAGCTTGAGAGTTTTTTGATTGAAATTACGGCTGATATATTCATGGTGAAGGATGAGTATGGAGATGGGGAATTGGTGGATAAGATTTTGGATAAGGCTGGAATGAAGGGGACTGGGAAATGGACTGTCCAGCAGGCCGCGGAGCTTTCGGTAGCTGCTCCCACGATTGCAGCCTCGTTGGATTTTCGGTATTTGAGCGGGTTGAAGAAAGAGCGAGAGGTGGCCGCAGAGGTGTTGAGGGAAGCGGGTTTGAAGGAGGAGGTTGGGGCAGTGAGGAGTGGGATTGATAAGAAGAGGTTGATTGATGATGTGAGGCAGGCTTTGTATGCTTCCAAGATTTGTAGCTATGAACTTGTTGAGAGCAAAGAGTGTAATTCACCAGCATGTTTTGGGATGCTTGATTTATCAAGAGTATCAAGAAAAAATACGATATAATACTGTGGGGATATATTTTCTAAATACCAACACGTGGAATGGTGACGCCGACGTGTCAGCCGAGGTGCCACGTGTCCTGGTCGTGACGCTGAGATGATCTCGACGAGGCCGAGGTTGACTCCGAAGATATCGGAATCCGAGATAAACGAATAATGGACAAGAGTCCTAAGACGAAGAGGAGACTTAACCAAGATAAGGACAAAGCTCTTAGGGAGTTTATCTTTATCTCTTAAAGAGTCCAAAGTAAGCACTAAATTGGAGTTCATAGAAGTCATACTTCTAGAAGGACTTGGATTGAGTATATTATAAAAGAGAGGCACCCCCGTGGGTCTAAGGTATGTAATTTATGTTTTGAGTATTAAGTTTTGCACTTGATTATCTTTGAGAGATATACTGACTTGATCGTCGGAGTGCCCCCGGGTGGAAGAACCACCGCCGGAGCCTTTTCTTTCTGTCACAGGTTACTGAAGCCATCTATTCTGCCTGTGCTCTCCAGTTGGTTACTAAGCAGGCAGTGTGGTCAGATTTTCACCCACACAAATACTCTAATAATTTTTCACCAAAGATTGGGGAAAATATGTTTTGCAAGTGGCAAACGGATGTGATGTACCATTTCATTCATTTATTGTTTGAAAAAAATATTTTATGTAATGGATATGTTATATGGCAGAATTAATGTGATTTACTTTTTCATTTATTAACTGTCATGTGATAAAAATGAAAATGAAAATGAAAATGAAATTGAAAATTGAAAAGCCACTTTATGTTCAGCCCAGAGTATTGAGTTACATTAAAATTTGGGTAAATTACACAAATCTCCATTGAGATTTAGCGAAAGTAAAATAATTTTATAGTTTTGAAATAATTATATTAATATTCTTTTTAGTAAAGGTAAATAAAGAGATTGAAATTAACGCAAATTGTGTGAAAACAAAAAGATAAATAAAGTAAATTATACATTTCAATATGAAAAAGATGACAGGGTCATTTTTTAATCTATATGATTAACGAATTATTAATAAAAACAAAAGTTAAGTATTATTTGAATTAAAAAACTTTAAGACGCGTTTATTAATTTGTTCAAGAATTGGCCGGAGGTAACCTCAGTTACTGGCCATCACGATACTTAACCCTTAGGTACGAGGAGCGGGTCGTGACACAAAAAGTCAAAAAAGCCTCTA